TAACATTTACATGATACACTCAGTGGGAGGAGGTCCAAACTGTCTCTCTGCAGCTCTATTTTTGTGTTTGAAAAATTACACTGGAGAGAAAACTAGAGAATTTATCCAGCCTGAAGGGTGTACAAGGCTTTCTATGACATTCCAGGAGCTAGACCCCATAAATGATGTAGCCAATTTTCATTCATTCAATCAATCATCAATCAATCAGTCAATCAATCTGTATAACTGCCCATCTCAACAAGTGACTCTGGGCAGCTATACAACTTGAATTAATATTTTTCCTTTATTTTTAATTTTTTTAAGGTGTGTTATTTTACCGTTGTAACGGCCTCTACTAATAAAGGAAAATATTGCAGCTTCTGCTTTTTCTAACAGACCAAAGAGGAAAAAGGGGACTAATCTGAGTGGGTAGGGCTAAGGCTTGAGGAAATGTATTTGTGTGCTGTCCATTTTGCTTCTCAAAGCTTTCAAAATATAAAAATTGGCTCCGTTTGGGAGAGATTTTTAAAAGGGGTACAATAAGTGCCTTAAGCTAGTACAAAACTGAAGGTATCTCTCTTGCTCTTAACCTTCACCCAACAATGCCAAAAAAGAATGGAGTTAAAAAGATAGAGGTAGAGATAATATCCCCACCAGAAGTTTTTACTGCTTTGTATTATTGTATCCAACTAATCAGTAGAACAAGAATATACATATTAGCAACACTATTAACAGTATAATGTAAGGTCAACATTAATAATCATAATAAGAAAAAGGGGAAAAAAAGGCCTGAGAATTATATTACAAACAGAAGAGTGCCAATAAAAAAGACCAAATTGCTTTAAAGTCTTTTCCTTGCCCTCTTGTAAACCCCACAACCACCAGAAATGAATTGTTGAAAAATAACATATATTTTTCATCCATTCCTGAAAATCAGGTGCAGATATTCCAGTATTATGTGATAATACATTTATCCAGATTCATATGCAGAAAAAGTCCACAATTCTTGAAATCTTTATAGAATCCAGGTGCTAGGGGTATAACCAAGAACATAGACATCTTTAATACATAGTGATTTAAAAATATGTAATGTAATAAATGTGGGAGGGCCTCTCCAAATGAAAACCAACCTTGGAGTTAAATTGTCTCACTTAAAACAGAATTGAAAAGAATTCCAGACCATCTCTCTAGGTTTTTCATTTGCATCACAATGGGTAGTTTCAAATTGAGAACGCTTCATGGAAATTGTTATGCCAAGATAACAAAAGTCAGAACTTAATCTAAAGCCCAAGTCTTTATATTTTTCTAGATTATTACTGTGATCCAGTGGCATCAATTCTGATATATTCTGATATATAGAGTAACCAGACAGGACACCATACTCAAGTGTTAATGAAATGAGGTTAGGAATAGAAATTTCTGTTCTATCTGCAAAATATAAGGTGTCATCAGGACAGAATAAAATCTTGCACTTTGCTCCTCAGGATTTCTAATTATACAGGCAAGAAGTTCTAAAGCAAATCTCCCATTATTGGGAGTCAGGTTGGCTGGGGCTTATGGGAGTTGAAATTCAATAAAGCTGGAAGGCACTGGTTATATTTCCCCATTTTTGTACAGATCATAGGCATCCACCACTAATTGTGATGATGAAAAATGTCAAAATGTGTGTTAGGATGTCAAAACACAACCCCCAGCATTTCATACATGTGTCCTGATAGCAGATACAAGTCATTATGATGTCATGTCATGTCATCCATTTCATCACTTGCCCCCCCAGTAGTACCCCCTAGTGGATGCCTGTGATACAGACAATCTCTGTGGACACACTTTCCATTGTTGACAACTAATTCCATTATTGACAGCTAAACTTATTGACATTTGAAACAATGTTGTCAGTGTGATGCAGCCAATCGAGCCTTTTAAGAAAAAGCAACATTCACTGAAACAGGAAAAATGTATTTATAATGACAATAGTGGAAGCCTTTTCTCTGAAAGAGCTAAGGAAGATTTTCCTTTAAAAAGCAGGCTGACCAAGATTCTTCTTTTTCCAAATCTGCTTCACTGGATTCTGGTAGTAGCTGCTACTGTTCATCTACCTTTTTGAAATATTCTTCTAACTAAATTAGGGAGACATCCTAAACATTGATTGTTACCCCGTGAGAAGAATTAGCAATTATACCAGCCAAAGATCTACAAGTGCTTTACAAAAAGCAGTTATAAATTTACAATAAGCTAGGTAGCTCTAGGTGCTGCATTTATACACTCCAATCCTATAGGACACAGTGTGTAAACTTTGTTGGCATCTAGCTACAAGAAAAGAGAAAACTTAGGAATGAGATGAAAAAGAAAGTATGTTTTAGGCCTGTATGTTATGTTTTTTTGTTTTTT